TATATTGAAGCAATTTTTTAAATTTATTTTCAACATTTATATTCGGGCGTCAGGTACAAAACATTTTTAAAAAGTTATTTCTCGATTCCTCGAAGAAAGCAGAAAGGTGCGAAGTGATCTGGAAAGATCACCTTGGCAAGGCCCAGCGGATCCCTAAAAAAATATCAAAGGAAAAGGGGGGGGGGGGGGGCAAAGAGGGGAGATTGGATGGGCGAAGGGGGCAGGTTTGGTGGGACAAGGGGGGCGACGAGGGAAGCGGAGAAAGAAAAAAAAGTGATAGGGAGTCGGAGCTCAATACGAAGGAAATGATGTGCGGGAGAAAGAGAAGTTTTCGGAGAAGAGACTTCCCAGGTCGAAGAGGGCAATTTTGGGGATTTCCCTCCCCCTCACCCCCCTCCCTCTTCCCGCAGCCTTCCTCCAGTCCCCCTAGTTACAGCCAGGGGATGTAATAAATGAATCCTTCCTCCTTCCTCCTAAGGAGGGGAAGCTGCTACCCATTTGGGACGCCACGGCCGAGCGATATTAAATATATATATATATAAATATGAAATGTAAATAATAGTGTATATCCCGCGATCCTTGAAGACGCTTCGTGTCCGCCGTCGTGTTTTCCCCGAAGGATTTCTCGAGTAAAAACATTATGGAAATATCTGAGGGTGTGGCAGCGGGAGCCATCGACTCCGGTTAAATAAACCGCCTTCGTCCTCGAACGCGGACGAAGGCGGTCTATTCAAACCGGTTGTCATCGGGGTCTGTCCGGGTCGTAATCACGGACCGTCTCGGCTCGGCTGCGGACCGGTTCCACCTTGCCACCACCTGCTCCAGGCGGTGCCCCGCCCCCCGTGAAAATTCGATCGAAATTCAAAAATAAATTTCTTCCAGCGAATTTGAAAACTTCCACACTCAAAAATCCCACTTCATTTTTTATTTAAACTTATCGTGCACGGAAGTGGATACGGACACGATAAAGGACTTATCAGCTCGAGCCATCAGGGAATATGAGGGGAGACTGCGACGTTTCAGCCTTTTTTTTCTCCACTTTCCGCCTCCGTCTTTATCTCTTTCCCCCGATGTCCTTATCTGATGCCTTGTTTTCCATTTGCAACGGAATGAACGCCAAGGCCAAAACGCGAAAGTGCGTCTGTCTACTTCTCAGCCCCCTCTGCCCCCCTGCCCCCACCCCTGCCCCCCTCGTTAACCCAGGATGCAGCCGGGTCTCGATCCCCTCGTGGACTCACAGAGCCTAACCTTTCTAAAATAATAATAATAATATGATTAAATAAATAAATAAGTATTATTAATAATAATAAATATAAATATAAATAATCAGTTACAATAGTCTGAAAAGGTTTATCATCTAAATATTCATCCTGATGTTGTACCAGAGGCGTAGTACCATTTTGTAAGCCGGCATGGAGCGAGATGCAGTCAACGAAGGCGCGTGCTTCTCGTGACGTCATCGATGGACGTCACGGCTGCGCGCCTGTTTCGAAACACTCTTTGTGCGACGATAGCATGTTGCAACAGCGTGGCAATAAACCCGGACTTCCTGCACGTGCTGGCCGGAGACGAAATGCGTTCACCCCACCAGCTCGACGGCGTGTCTCGTCTTGCCAGCGGCCTTTGCTGGCCTTTGCTGGCCTTTGCTGAGGCGCCAAGCGTCTGATGACGTCACTGGAAGGCTTTCAAGCCGCTTGGCGTTCTCGTGGTTCGCTGCGTTCCGCTCGCAGTTGCTTGCCCAGTAGTGACGTCATTCTACGACGCGTCTTTTTCCGCAGCCGGCTGGAGGGAAAGACGCGCCTGTGACCTTGTGTGACCTTGAAGCACTTTATGGAAATAATTCTGTCACGCCTGATTTTTTCTTACTTAATGATTATGAGAGGCGAAGTATATTCCGAAATTCGAAGTTTCGTCTTCGAGAACGACTCCCTTGTAGATATAATAATAAATAATATCATAAATAATATAATACGTGGAGCCTCGAATCGAGAGGGGCTTCAGCTGCCTCAAGGAATGGCTTTCGTCCCGGGCCGAAGACCTTTAATGAAGGACTTTGAGGGACGATGCAGCAATTAATTCGGATGTGCGGAAAGGGTTTACAGTTACAACAAAGGGTTTACAGATGCGGTTTACAGCCTCGATGAAATGACACCTGATTGGTCCACGTTCGCATCTGACTTCAGATGTGAAGCGGTCCTGGCCGCTCGGAATCCTCAGGGAGGGCTGCGAGGGCCTCGATCGCCTTTTGGTTCTCGTGTTTTTTTGGTGTGATGATGAGGGCAAAGCCCCTAAAAATTGTAAAAAATATATATATACACGTATATATATATAATTATATATATATAATATCAATGGGACCTGATGTTGAGCGAGGGGGTGGGGGGAATATTTGTATTTATATGTTTATTTCCATATTTATCGTTCGTCGGGATTTGATGGATGGGCGGAAGCCAACGACTTTTTTGTGTACCCTTTCTTTTTTTTATCTTTATAGCGGGTCTTCACGTTTGCGAGCCGTTGGTCGTTGTTGACTTTTGATGTCGGTGTCGTCGTGTCGCTCGAGGAGTGATGAAACTTAGGCAAAATCAAATGGGTTTTGGCCCCTTTTTATTCGATTGAATTCTCTGAGTGGCACTTGAAAATAGAGGGGGGTTGCGGGGTCGTGACACGGGGGGGTTGCGGGGTCGTGACATGGGGGGGTTGCGGGGTCGTGACATGGGGGGGTTGCGGGGTCTGAAATCTCAAATATATACACGAGGGAATATCGGAACGGGATTTTGTTGGGTTGATGTTGCCTTGCTGGCTTAGGGCAGGGACCATCATTAGGTGGATTGGCTATTTCTTCCTCGGGTCGACGACTCCGAGATTTACAACTTATTTCTGATTATTCTTTTGGAGTCGGTATTTGGGGGTTGGGGGACGTTTATGATCGATGATGGATTCATCTGGATCCGTTTTGAGGGTGTTTCCCGTCCAACGTCTCGATGCAAGAGCATAATAATATGCGAGGTCTGACAATAAAATAACGAGACTGTATTTTTTAATAGCTATAATATTTTATACTATTGTAAACTGTGGTGGTCTCCTTCAAAGTAGTTCCCTCTTGCAGCATTTTTTAAAACTGCCCTTCTGGAAGTCAATCTCCTGCCAGATGTTTAGAACGTCAGTCGTAAACTTCTGAATCTCTTCCACGGTTTCAAAATGTATTCTCTTGATGTGTTTCTTCACATTCGGGAACAATGAAAAGTCGCACGGAGCGAGATCCGGTGAATAAACTGTAATTTATTTTTTTTTCCGCCAAAAACTCCTAAACGGAAAGTGCTGTGTGTGATGGTGCGTTATCGTGGTGCAAAATCCACTTAACGGGGAAATCCACTTAACGGGTGAAAATTCCGGCCTCACACGACGAACCCGCTGTCTCAGACGTTTCAAAACTTCCAGATAAAACTGCTGGTTGACTGTTTCACCAGCAGGAACAAACTCGCCATGCACTATTCCTCTGCAGTCGAAGAAACAGAACAACGTCGTCTTAACCGGTTGGTTTTTCTTCGAGTTTGATTTTTTTGACGAGTGCCCCTAACAGTACTTTAGGGAAAGTGGTACTGGTCTGCAACCACTGCAAGTATAATGACAAGTTTGTTACTGCACAGACTTAAGACATGCACTGACAGGTTACAACAATCGCCACTAACCCAGTGTTGCCACACGCATTGCAGTGTTGTCAGTCTCGTTATTTTATTGTCAGACCTCGTATATCTCATTGATAGAATCTCATTAGTATGGTATTCCCAAACCTCTCCTCTGGGTTTCTTGAGAGGATCTGGCTCTTTTTTTTTTTTTATCTGTTGCCTGAAGGCTTCATGTATCTAGGTCGTCTGAATAAAAAGCGACAGTCGTTCAAAGTTGAGTCATAAAACGTACCCTTTCCGCGCATGTGGATGGAGTTCCAGCATTGCTCACATCTATTTTCTCCCTCGACACCGTGACACCTTGAAAACTCGTCGCCTTGACAACTTGACGCCGTGCCCTCGTCGTGGTGTTCTACGTCGTGGGATAGTACTACTGTCGTACGTCGGAGTACCAGGATCGATACTGCGTAGGACACGACCACACGGCATATAATTGCAATTTTGATGGCGTCAAGAGAGAGAACTGATGGCGCTTGAACTCCATCCATTTCATCCACTCCATCCACTCCATCCACTCCATCCACTCCATCCACTCCATCCACTCCATCCATTCCATCCACTCCATCCATTCCATCCACTCCATCCATTCCATCCACTCCATCCACCTCGGGCGCGGGGAAGGTGCATTTTATGCCTCCGTTTTGGTTTGACTGTCGCTCGTTGTTCTCTGGCAACACTGGTCCTGCAGCAACACTGGTTATGGGAAGAATTGGGGAAGATTCGGTCGATAGGGGGAGAGACCCTCAATTATTCTCAATGAGTTTCAGATATTTTTTTTTTCTCCTTGAGAAGAAAGATAATGTCCCAAAAAGGTTTGAATGGAGAAAATGCGTGGAACCTCCATCGGAACGATGAATGATGGAGTGTTCTTCGATTCTCTCTTCCCTCCTTCCCTCCTTCCCCTTTCTCCGGTGGGGTGAATCCCGTCTGCATCGATCCGAGGAACGGCAATTTTATTCTTCTTCCGGGCCGACACGCACGTTCAGACGGTCAGATCGATGAGATCCGAATGATTCCGGCCGACACGGGAGGGGGGAGGGGGGAGGGGGGAGGAGGGGGGGGTTCTCCCGCAGCTCGGATTAATATTAGATTAATCGTCACGTCGGTTCAATACCTGAATGGGGAGCGAATTAGGGGGAAATAACTTTAAAAATTCAGCACCCTATTAAAGTTTCATGTTGGATTCGTTTACAATAGAACCTTGACCTTGACTTGACCGGAGTTGCCACGGTTAGCGGGTGTTTACCGCGGTTGGTCGCGAGTAGACGTGGCGGCGATAGGCGGAGGTTTTCGAGTTCGACGTATCGCCGGTCTTCCTTCAAGCAAGCTGAGAAACTTCGCGGGGTGGGGATTCAATTAGGGTGTGGGCGGGGGGCGAGGGGAAGGGGGAGAGAGGCGATAATGAGTTCCCTCAGGATTGCGAGAAGCGAGGAAATTGAATGTTTATTTCCTCAAGAGAGACATTTGGTGTCGGCTGGGTGGAATCCAGCCTCTTTCTGGTTTTCACGTCGTTTTTTTTTTGGGGGGGGGGGGATTTTCTCAGATATTTTG